TGATTTTTCATAGATCATTAATGAACTTAATAATCACATGCCAATTATTTTAAAGTGATTATTATAATTATACATTGGTGGGAATTGAATATTCAGGTGTAATAATAAGTTTAACTCATTTTAAGAGAATTTCTTAAAAGAGTATCTAATAACTTCCTGTGTTGAATTTGCTGTTGGGAGTGGGGAGATGAAAGGAAATTAAATGTTTGAAATTTAAGAAAAATTGTAGTAGTTATTCAAAAACTACATTGAAACATATAAAGGTGATGGGCCAGACCTGCTCAGGAAAAAGAATTGAGCAGAAGCAGGAGTAATTACCATGCCACCTGCTGACCCCTCTGGGTCACGCTCCGTTCGAGGCACTTACCATGAATTAACTTGTTTAATGATTTCTTCACTATAGTCTTATGAGGAAGCCAAACATACAGAGGTTAAATAGCTGGCCCAAGGTCACATGAAACATCCTGAACACAGAAATGCTCATATAAATACATACACAAATATATATATTTGACCTCAAGAGCAAGAACAGTAAACCTCCAGGTGCCATAAATAAATAGGTGATTCTTAGGTAATTCTGTACCTACACTAGGGACATGGTTCTGGGGGACTATTGCACATGTGGCCAAGGGATGGATTTGTTTTAAGTTAACAGCTGCGGGGGAACTAGGATCAAAGCCTTTTGACTAGAATAACAGGAAGTTTGGAGAGGAATTATAGCTCGGAAGTAAGAAATGTTCCAGGCCACGGGTAGGAATAGAATCACCTGCAAGAAAATAGAGAACAAGCTGGGTTTGCACATGGGGTCCAAAGTACAGAACCTCTAAGACAGAAACTGAGCAAGAAAGTGGAGAAGCTTTGATCCCTATGACAATGCAGGGAGGTGTCCGCGGTCCGGGAAGAGCTGGGACACGGCCACTACCGCAGCCCAAAGTAAGTCCCACTGAGGATGGACTCACACACAGAAATTACAAAACACTGGGGGAAGACCAGTATGAGGAATGTAAGTGAATATAAGCTATTGAAACATGATAGCAAATTATAAAACATTTGAAAAGTCCAGTATGAAGAAAGCATCCTGTAAACATGGGAGAGTGACAATGGGATAATAAAAAAAAGACTTAAAAAATAAGTATGTTTAAAGTGCTTAAAAGATAAAGTAGTAAAATCTATAAAACAAGAAAAGGAAATTAAGTTTTTAAAAGGTAAGACTTACTATTTTTAGAGCAGTTTTAGATCCACAGAAAATTGAGGGGAAGGTACAGAGATTTCTCATATGTCTCCTGCTCCAATACATGTACAACCTCCCCCACTATCCGCATCCCCGACTGGAGCAGCACATTTATTATAAACAATGAAGCTACATTGACCATCATAATCCCCTCACACGTTGTTTACATTACAGTTCTCTCCTGGTGGTGTACTTCCTATGGGTTTGGACAAATGTATAATGACACATCTCCATCATCGTGGCCCTATACAGAGGGTCTTCACTGCACCAAAAATCACGTGTGCTGCTGTTCTCTCACCCCACCCCTACGTCCCCTGGCAACTGCTGATCTCTTTATTATCTCCAAAGGTCTGCCTTTTTCAGAGTAACATACAGTTGGAATTATCCAGTATCTGGCCTTTTCAAACTGGCTTCTTACACTTAGTCACATGCATTCAAGGTCCCTCCATTTTCATGGCTTTATAGCTCATTTGTTTTTACCAGGGAGGGAATTAATTTTTTTGAAGTGATCCAAAGAATAACTAAATAGAAATCATAAGCAATAAAAAATATTACATCAAAAAATTCTTAGCTGGACTGTAGACTTAGTGATTTGGATAAAAATCACCCGGCATAAAGCACCAGGAGGCAAAGAAATGGAAAATGTGAAAAGTAAGTTAAAAGACAGAGAATAAATCATGAAAACCCAAAATGCATTTTATAGGCTGTTCTGCAGGACAGAAGGTAGAGTGGAGGAGGCCACCTTCAGAGAAATAATGACTGAGAAATCTTCAGAATTGAAAAAAGACACAAGTTCTGAGATTGAAAAAATGTGTTGAGTCCTAGGTAAGGTAAATACAAATGAATTCACACCTGGACAATCAAACCATAGTGTGACTGCAGAACATCAAAGACGAAGAAAAATCTTAAAAGCCAGCAGAGAAAAAAGCAGGTTACATTCAACGTACCAGTGATCCTGGCCAGCCAGCCGCTATCCTGGGGCCATGCAAGCTCATCTCCACATTTCCTCCCTCACTGCCACAGACTCAAACTGAGCACCTATTGTGTGCCAGGCCCTGTGTTCTGCTAAAATATTCTGTCTCTGCTTTGTACACTTCACCGTTCTTCCTGGCCTCGCTCAGGTCACATGCCTTTCCCCAGGAAGTCCTCCTGACTTCACCAGTTCTCAGTGCTGCCCCTGCTCTCACTGTCACCACTGCAGTCCGCCCCCAGCTATTTGGTCCCTGCCTTCACTGGCCTCTGTAGCTTGTGTGTTCTTTGTTTATGCACATAAATAATAAGCACTAGGAGCTCTGGGGCCTCATCCACAGTCTTCCTTTCCATCTGCTCCCCAAGTTAGCAGGGGTAGCAACATAGGATGTGTTGCATGAAAATTTTTGAACACTTAATCAATTGATCCTTTGGAGTCAAATGAAAGTTAAATTTGCATGCTGAATCAAGCTCTTTTTTATAAGCTCTTTAGGCCCTTTTGAAGCCATATTTCCGCACTCGGTGATCTGGCTAGTGTAGAGTTGATAGGTATCCTTAACCCACATTTCAAAGCCTCTCATTATATTACTTATCATTACTTTAATAATATTCACATGTACCTGGAAGTAAATAAGCATACATGGTTTGTAATCCCACTAGTTAAAATTAATTACTGATAATATTTATTCATTCATTTGACAGTCAATAGATATTTAGAAAATATCTATTTTGTTCCATGTACTGTGCTAAGTTTTGAGGGTATAGCAATATATATTTTGATATGGTTTTTGTTTATTTTTACACAGAATTTTGAGAATGTAATATACCCATTACAGAAGTGAGATCCTACCTCATACGCTATCCCTACCCTACTGCTAATACTTCACACCATCCCAGCATTTTCTCATGCTTCATCTAGTCTTTAAAGCATGATTTTAATGAGCTGGTTAATATTGCGTTTTATGAATAGGTTACAGTTTCTTTAGTCACTCCCCCTACACATAACCCACTTTTAAAACACCTCTTCTGTGGCCCAGTGAATCCACTGGAGGAGGACAGGAATGTAAAGACATCAACTTCAAGGTGACCCAGACCTCCCTGGGGCATGAGAGTCAGAGGTGCGTCTGGGTTTACCAGGCCCTCACATGTGCTGGCCTTTCGGGGGGCTCTCCAAAGAAAATCCTGAGGCCAGACCATGCCCGTGCCCATGAGGCCATGTCTAGAGAGAGGTTAGAGAGAGCAGGAGCAAGGGAGCCCAGAGCCAGCACCCAGGGGTGCATGCTGACGAGGTGTGCAGCCAGAGGGAGCGGACCTCCCAGGGGAGAGGTGTGTGTGTACTCAACTCTGAGCCATGGGGACCAGCCAGACCTGAGGGTACCGTGGAAAGACTTTGTCCAGGAGAGGGAGGAGGCCTCCCTTATGCCCTGTGCTAGACTCAGACAAGGAGCGTCTGAACTGAACCAGACTGCCTTCTCATTTTTCCGGCTCCCTCAGCCTCTCCCGCTGTGCCTGGCAGTGGACGTGGGTGACGTGGGTCATACAGATAAGCCCCGAATTTTGATGGTTTGTCTTACGAGTTTTTGACTTTACAATGGTGTGAGAGGGATCTACATTCAATAGGAACCATGCTTGGAATTGTGGGTGTGAATCTCTTCCCAGGCCAGCGGCACGTGGTCCCGTCCTCTCTCTTGTCCAGCTGCTGGACAAGAGGCAGAGCTCCATTGGCTGTGTGGGCAGCAGGCGATCCGCTGACAGCTGTCCTGTTCCCGTGCAACCACGGTGTTTCACTTTCAGTACAGGGTTCAGTAACTTAGGTGAAGGGTCACTGCTTTGTTATAAAATAGGCTTTGTGTTAGATGATTTTGCCAACTGCAAGCTAATGTAAGAGGGCCGAGCCTGTTTGAGGTAGGCTAGGCTAAGCTATGATATGAGGAGTTGTTACATGCATTTTGACTTGTGGTATTTTCTACTTACTATGGGTTTATCGGGACATAACCTTATCATAAATCAAGGAAGGTCTGTATTTTCTGGCTGTGTGCCCGTAAGCAACTCATCTTCCTGGGAATAAGTTCATGGCCCATGGAGACTTTGACTTGGTTATGGTGAGTACCAAAGGAAAGGGCCCTTTGCCAGGTGCTAGCATCTAGTGCACCTCGGCCATGTCTGGACGCTGGAGTGGGAGCATCAGATGGGTTATCTCATGCAATCTTTGAGTCATTGGCCCTGCCTGGAAAGGCAGCCTCATCCCATCACTCAGCTGACGAGAACTGACAGAGCACCAATGATGTATCAGAAACTGCTCTCGGTACTGGCCTGCAGTAGCCCTTACAGGGCGTATAATTTCTGCTCTCATACAGCTTGGCACCTACTGTGTAATTTCTGCTTTCATTTTTCAGAGGAGGAAACTGCAATTCCAAGAGATGAAGAAAGCTTCCCCCCTCACCCGGCTGGTCCTGGCAGAGCCAGACAGACACTGAGCCCTGCATGGTTCCAGCCATGCACACCCCCAGCCCTGCATCCCCAGGCTCTCCCAGGCCCTGGGCAGTCGGTTCCCTGCTGTTCACACATTTTAAGAGGCAAGCCTGACTCAAGCTGTGCGTGGCTCATTCTGATTCAGCATGACGGTGTAGAGAGCTGGACAGACTGCTTCCCGGCTAATGAGCAGCAGCTTCTTAACTGGGCCAGGGCTGGGCCTGCACGCAGGCATTGCCCTGGAGCATGTTGCAGAAGAGTGGGTGGCAGAAATCGGGCCACCCATCAGTGTTTATAGGACTGGCCCATTAGAGGAGGCCCTGAGACTTGAGAGAAGCCCTGGGGAAGGCAGGAGCCACACTTCTTCTAGAAGCTGGGTTCCTACTGCCTCTGTTCACACATCCTGACTTCCCACCCAGGCCCTGGATCCGACGTGGTACAGTCTCTTTGAGGTATGGCTTCTCTTGGAATTGACACACCTGTTCCTTTGCTGATATGAGCAAGAATTTTGCACTAGGTAATCATACAGTAATGGTTCAATATCTGGAATACCTTGGATGATGGCAATTTTTAAGAGCATGCCAACTCACAGACCCTTGACCCCCTGACGTGGAACCTACTCTGTCCTTGGGGTGTCCAGAGGACACATTGGACAGGGGATGTGTGGGGAAGTCTCAGGTCAGCCAGTTCAGGGAAACTAATCTGCCCTCAAAGTACTGCTGGTCTGAACTTCCAGAAGGCTGCTCAGTGGTCCTGGACTAGCACAGGAGTCCAGAGACCTCCCCTCAGCTTGGGGTGGGAATCCCAGCCAAGTACTGGGCCCAAGCTTTGTTGAACCCACTGGAAATGGGATTTTCTTGGGGAAGGAGGCTGGCCAAACCTTGGGCTTCTTGCTGCCTGTGCTCGCTTTGCTGGTGCTGTTAGCAGACCAGACATAGATGCTCGCCCTGCCCGCTCTCGGGAGAGATGCTTTATTTCGGCGTGGCGGCCAACAGGCAAACGCTGTACCCAGGCTGATCCCAAGAACAAGGGCTGGTCCTCTGGGAAAGGCCGCAGAGTGTGCCTTTTTCTTACTTCACAGAATGATTGGCTCTCGCTTATTGTTACAGGGTCCTGGAGGGCAGGGACCAGAGCTTAGCTATCGGTTTCCGGGCACACAGAAGGTGCTCGGTAGATACAGATCTGTCACTTGCCAAAGTGTCTTCCTGAAGCGGGCGAGTGAATGCCGACAAGTCCTCTGGCTTTGCAAGGAGGCCAGAACGCTGCGCTCCCAACAGGAGAGGGGAGGCAGGCCCCCTCCACTGCTTGCCTGGCACTGCTTGCCAGCTGCAGGATGCATAGCCAGTGAGCCCAGTGGTGTGGGGTGTGGATTCTGGAATCTGGCATATCCAGGCTGAAAACCACTCACCTCCTACTTGAGGAAGTCATCTACTGCCTTCCTGACCCACTTCTCAGTCTCCCTACATCTGAGATGGGAGCCTTGCAGGCTGGACGGGGAGCAGTGAGCTTCCTTGTGTAAGACGCGTTGCTGGGCTTGGCACCCACAAGGCCACAAGCTGTGGCAGCCACTGGGGGGCTTAGGTGGGACCACCTCGAATTACCCTACTTAAACATGACCTACAAAATGGTGGCTTCTCATGGTTCGACCTGATGCTGTCATCTCCCTGACCGTCTGGGTGCTTGACAGTGAGACTGGGTGGTACTGGGACCCCTGCCAACCCCTTCCCAAGGAGTCAGGTCCAGCTCAGTCCCTGTACGGGAAATGGAGGGGCCTGTGCGGCCACCTCCTATAGCTCCTTCTGGCCAGGCAGAGAGATGGAGCACAGGGAGGGAGGTTCTTGCCCAAAGATACAAGCCTTTTAGGAGGGGACCCAGGAACAGAATCCAATTTTTTACTCCTCATTCAGTTCTCTTCCCACTGTGTCAGTCTCAGGTTGGCATGTTGGGGCCAGAGCAGGGCCAGCTGCCTACACAGGGTGCCAATCAGGTCAGAAATGTAACAAGGTGCCGGGAGATGCGTTTTCCAGAACTCCTCCCAGAGGCAGTGCTGCAGCTCTGACACGTAAGGGTTGGGCAAGCTCAATTTCCTGGTCTGTACAATGGAACAATAATAGTGTCTACTCCGTGGATGTGTCATGGGGAACAAGAAATCTTTGTGAATTGTATTATAAATAATAAAATCTGTTAATACAATATCTTTAAAAAAATCTAAAAAATACTGTAGATTACTCAGGAAGTGCTGGCACCCCTTCTCAAGGTCCATAAGTGTTGATCACTATTGTCATGAAAGACATTTGGGGGCTGGTATTGTCAGCGGTGTGCAAGTTCAGGCCAGGCCTGGCTTGCTGAGAATAGAGAAGAGCCCTCAAGATGGCCCACAGGCCCCCTTTCTCCTCCCATCCCTTCCCTCCTGTGCCCACTTTGGCTCTAAATACACATGGGACAGATACTCAGAGACACTAGCAGCCCCCGGGGACTGGGCTTAGCGTGTGTCCACGGCCTTCCTGTCCCACACAGTATCTCTTCCACAGGGGCATTGCTCTCAGGATTACAGGTTTTACAGAGGGCATTTGTGAGGTCAAATAAGGCCATCCCTGTCAAGTGCTCAGATGGGTCCGGGCCCTGACAAGCACCCTGTGGCACTTGGCAATACAGTAACCTTCTCACCCCTGCAGGGACACAGACTCCACAAACCCACGTCTCTGTTTCATTCATGGAGCGTCCGGAGTTCCTAGAACAAAGCAGCTCCCAATAAATATTTGCTACATGAACAAGTGGATTTGTCCCCTCCCTACAGGAGATCAGGGTCTAAAGGAGACATCTGGAAAACAGTCACAGGCACTCTGGACATCAGTGAAGGACACACAAATCGGGGCATCCCAAGTTCTCCCTGCATCGCCCTCCGCACCCTCTTCATTTGCTGCTTCCCGTCTCTGGGACCTGGCGCCCCCTCCACCCGTCCCTGTCTGCTCCGTGCAGGCTTTTCTTTGCTCTTATCTGGAGAATTCCAACACACTCACCTTCTGCCCCCTCTTCCCTAAAGCCAAAAGAGGGACTTCCTAAAATATGAATCAGGTTAGATCACTCCTTTGTTTAAACAAATTTGAAAACTTCCCCTTGCCTCCAGGCTAAAATCCAGTTTGACGCCCTTGAGTCCAGGCAAGGCCGCTCACCAGCCCTAGTCACGTGGGAAATGCAAATCAAGCCGCAGTGAGATACCACTTCACACCCACTAGGATGGCTGTTGTCAGAAAGCAATGTAACCAGGGCTGATGCAGGTGTGAGGAGATTGGAACCTGCATACATTGCTGGTGGGAATGCTGCTGATGTGGAAACGTCTGGCAGCTCCTCAAAAAGTTAAACATGCAATTACCATATGACCCATCAATTCCACTCCTAGGTAAATAGCCAAGAGCTAAAATAAACCCTTGATCAGTTTTCTAGAGAACACTGTTAAACTGCATCTTTCTCCCCACTTTCATTTGCATTTTTAATCAGATTTGATTCCTTCCCGTCTACATTTCATAAAAGTTTCAATTTGGCCACCCTTATGTCTGCCATGACCCGTGTTCTTGGATTACCATTTGCCCGTCTAGTTTTACCACCGAAACGTGGCTCTCCTCCCCCTGCTTAGGCAATCACACATCTTTACCTTGTGTAGCATTGGCCCTTGACAGTTTTATTTTGTGATATTGTCCTAACAATAATATTCTTTATGGATTGAATAAAATACCGATAGATTGCATTTATTTCTCAAAAATGTTAAAATAAGGTTAAAATAGATGATACACGTCCATGATGGGAGGAAAGGGTAGGCGGAGCGGAGGCTGTGTGCCTCTCCGGCTCACCCTACCTGCTGCTTCCCTCCCCTGGCGTAGGGCTGGGGGTTGGCGGGGAATGGGGAGGGGGGCAGCAGGGACAGCAGAGGGAGACACAGGCGGTAGCACCGCCTCAGGGAGCCCTGCAGTTGGCCCGGCCCTTCGGAGCTCAGATCAGGATGAGGGGGCCGGGTCTGTAGGTTCTGGGCCGGCCGGTCATCAGTCGCAGCCCTTCCTGGGGTATGACCTCAGTTCTTTTCAGTTGATGTCGTCCTGTCCCTCCTCCTCGGGGCTGACAGCGGAGGGCCTTCTGCCCTTCAGCCAGCACTCCCTCCAGCTCAGGGTAAAGTCAACCCAAAGGGGACCCCAGGTGGTCCAGCACAGGGACCACTGTCACCCACAGTCACCAAGTTATTGCCAGCTCTCCCTACCCTTTTTGGCCAAACACTTGTTTTTTATTTTTATTTTCTTAGGCCTCCGGAGAAGTCTCTCTGTGGGGTAAGCTGTCAGGAGCCCCTCTCTCTTCCATTCCCGACAGCCCCTCGGTGTCCCAGGTGTGGAGCCCATGCAGGGGGGCAACTGGGCCTTGGCCTCAGGCCACCCGGGAGGAGAGCCCTGAGATTCAAGGCTTTCTCCCCTCCTCTTCTCTTTTTTTTCCTAAGGCAAGCTTTCTAGGGCTCTGGAGTTATAAAAAGCTTCTGTGCGTCATTTTCTGGCAGTTGGGCAGCTGCAGAACACTGCTCAGCCAGCACCCTGCCCAAGGTCAGCATTTGACTGATGGCTTGGGTTTGGTGAAAGCAGTTGAAGGTTATCACAAATCTGTGATAAGGTGGTTTGTTAAACACCTTCCCAACATCGGTTGGCTCACCTGTGCACCTGGCTCAGCCCCATCTCTGTAGGTGACAGTAGGGAACTCACCTTCTTTCCCCTGCCTTTCCCCAAGCCCCATGGCCACCTGCCCCGTCCTGCAGAAGGAGAGAGTATTCCAGTCGGGAGCCTATGCCTACAGAATCCCTGCCCTGCTCTACCTGCCCCGGCAGAGGACCCTGCTGGCCTTCGCAGAGAAGCGGGTGAGCAAGAAGGATGAACACGCGGAGCTGATCGTCCTGCGCAGGGGGAGCTATGACGTGTCTGCCCACCAGGTGCAGGTGAGGCAGGGAAGGCCACGCTGCTCTGCAGGAACACGGGGGCCATTTCGTCCTTGGGTGGCTGAGGTCTGGGAGACAGAAGGAAAGGATGCATAGAATCCCAGCAAGCACCCAGACACCTGTCCGGGATGGGGCAGAGAGGGTGCCCCCGAATGACCACCACGTCTCACGTGGGCTTACTGTGGACAAGCCCAGTTGGTCTGGCTGCATCGGCTTCATTGCATAACTGGACAAATCTGTCAGGGAGACCGGTTTGGAAAGGTTACTCTGCATCCCTGAGAAACCGAGGGAGGAGAAGTTCAATATCATAACTGGGGGGTTGTATTTGAGTAAAATTAACCTGGGGAGCAGGTGCGGGTAGGGATGATTGTTTGTGTCTTGAATTTCTATCTTAATATAATTAAGTAATGAATTTTGATCAGTAATGAATTTTGATGAAGACACCCAAGGCTGGCTTATCACATAGGAAGGGTTTAATATTATCGTCATCATCATCATTATTTTGCAATCACTATGTAGTAGTTCAGAGCATGGAGTTTCAAGGAGATGGACCTGGACTCGAGTCCTAGTTCCACCACTTACCAGAGGTATGACCTTGGGCAGCTCATCTACCCTATGTCAGCCTCTCATTCTTGAGATGTGAGATGGAGCTGATAACACCGGTGGTCCAGGAGTTGGGGTTAGTGTTAGATGAGGCAATGGGCACTAGGCTCTGGGCACGAAGTGTCCTTAGAGTGCTTCACTGGTGGCTAGCTGTTAATGAACGGGGATACATGGCCGAGCTGCAGCATGTGAGACACAGACGGGAACTACGGAGGCTTGATGCGAGTCCTCGGCGCTGTGGGGCTGCCCCTCCTCGGCCGCGTTAGTAGAGGATGATGTGTAGAGGATGCGAGGTGATGGTTATATTCTGTCCCACACTGGTCAGTCTACTGTAGTTACTACTAGGGCTTTATTTTTCAATAATGGGGAGTGGGACTGGGCTGGTAAGTTGAAGGAAGCAGCGTGAAGCTGGGAGTGGCTCCTGCCTGCATCATTGTGTTTTGGGATCCAGCGCACTGAGGTGCTCTGGCATGTTTGTTGGTGGGAATGGCAGCAACAGCCACTCCAGGGGGGCCTTCCTGGGAGGGAATGGGGTGGGGCCCTGGCTCCTGCTGCTCTGGGAGGTGTTGTGAGGAAGAATGGGTTCTGGATGAAGAGTTCTCTTTGGTGACCTTTGACTCTTGCCCCGTGAGACCCCTCACTCCCCCCTCCAAGTGCAGCTCCTGTCACTGTCACTGGCCATTTCAAAGTTGTGCTTCCTCCCTTCCCCTCTCCTTGCATTCAGTGGCATGCTCAGGAGGTGGTGGCCGAAGCCCAGCTGGAGGGCCACCGGTCCATGAACCCGAGCCCCTTGTATGATAAGAAGACAGGGACCCTTTTCCTCTTCTTCATTGCCGTCCCCAAGGATGTCTCCGAGCACCACCAGCTCTTCACCAGGGTCAACGTGACGCGGTTTTGCCAGGTCACCAGCACAGACCATGGGAAGTCCTGGAGCCCCGCCAGAGACCTCACCGGCCCTGCCACTGGCCCTGCCTACAAGGAGTGGGCTACCTTTGCGGTGGGCCCTGGGCACTGCCTGCAGCTGCACAACGGGGCTCAGAGCCTCTTGGTGCCAGCCTACGCTTACCGGAAGCCCCCTGTCCTCGGGAGGCCACACCCCTTTGCCTTCTGCTTTCTCAGCCATGACCATGGGCACACGTGGGAGAGAGGGAACTTCGTGGCCCAGGACACCCTGGAGTGCCAGGTGGCTGAAGTCGGGGATGCTGGGCAGAGGGTGGTGTACCTGAACGCCAGAAGCCTGCTCAGAGCCAGGGTGCAGGCCAAGAGCACCAACGATGGGCTTGATTTCCAGGAGACCCAGCCGGTGGGCAAGCTCGTGGAGCCTCCCCACGGCTGCCAGGGCAGCGTTGTCAGTTTCCCCAGCCCCCAGGCGGGGTCAGGCTCCTCTGCCCAGTGGCTGCTCTACTCCCACCCCACGGACCCAGAGCAGAGAGCCAACCTGGGCGCCTACCTCAACACGCAGCCACCGGGCGCCACGGCCTGGTCAGAGCCCACGCTGCTGGCCAAGGGCCCCTGCGCCTACTCGGATCTCCAGAGCCTGGGCATCGGCCCCGACGGCTCACCCCAGTTTGGGTGTCTGTACGAAGCGGGTAATTACGACGAGATCATCTTCCTCATGTTCACCCTGAAGCAAGCCTTCCCTGCTGAATGTGCGGCTCAGTGAGCCCCCTGCGCTGTCTGGGGTGCTCCCGCTGGCTGCCGCTTCCTGCCCACCGGCTGAGAGGTCCCTGGCTTTGCCTGTCAGGACCTGGGAGAGCCGCTCGTGATTCCCGTCATTCAAAGCGTGCCAAGAGATTTGCCTCTTGCCTTTTGTCTGTCTTCTCAAAGGGTTCTATTTTTAGCCCAGAAAATGGGGGGACCCGGCTTTGGCGGCCCCTCCACCAGACCAGCCTGCTGGGAGAGCTCGGCGCAGCTCGGCCTGCACACGCCCCCAGCCCAGCTTTGGTGCAGGTCCTGAGAATTAGCTAGTCTAGCACATTTCTTCTTGGGAATGCTCAGGTTCCTGAGGAAAGTCTGAGACAAAGGCATAAGTTAGCAAAGACGTGGTGTGTGTGTGTGTGTGTGTGATGTGTGATGTGTGATGTGTGTGTGTGTGTGATGTGTGGTGTGTGTGTGTGTGTGTGTGTGATGTGTGTGTGTGTGATGTGTGTGTGTGTGTGTGGTGTGTGTGTGATGTGTGATTGTGTGTGTGTGTGATGTGTGATGTGTGTGTATGTGTGATGTGTGATGTGTGTGTGTGTGATGTGTGTGTGTGGTGTGTGTGTGATGTGTGTGATGTGTATGTGTGATGTGTGATGTGTGATGTGTGTGTGTGATGTGTGATGTGTGTGTGTATGTGTGGTGTGTGTGTGTGTATGTGATTGTGTGTGTGTGTGTGATGTGTGTGTGTGATGTGTGATGTGTGTGTGTATGTGTGTGATGTGTGATGTGTGATGTGTGTGTGTGTGTGTGTTTTCTCAGTAACGCTTTAGAGAGAGGATATGGGAGGAGCTTTGCAGGGAGGTGAGACAGGGTCTAGGAAAGTCAAGTTAGCTTAAGTCATTGTGTTCTTTCCCAGGGCTGCTGAAGCACATGAACTTGGTGCCTTTAAACAGCAGAATTTCTTCACACACAGTTCTGGGGGCTGAAAGTCCAAAATCAAGGTGTGGCCCTCCGGCTGCTCTGCGGGAATCCTTCCTCGCCTCTTTGGCGTCTGCGGGTTCCAGCTGTTCTGGCTGATGGCCGTGTCACTTCAGTGCCTGTGTCTCCAAACAACTTTCTTCTCCTTCTCTTGTGATTTCTTTTCAGTCTTTCATAAGGACACTTGCCGTTGGATGTAGAGCACGCCTGGATAATCTAGGATGATTCTTCACTTAATTTTCCAAAGACTCGTTTCCAAATAATGCCACGTTCACAGATTCTGGGGGTTCGGACATGGCTGTATCTTTCTGGGGCCTCCATTCCACCCACTACAATCGTCGTAAATTATTGGGTGATGTGGTTAAAGGCAGGAACGACATTCAGAGGAATCAGATAGTTAAGAACGCAGACGGTGGGAGGGGCTGGGCTGTTGCATGTGTGTCCGTGAGGCGGAGCTGCCCTGGGACACTCAGTCTTCGCCATGACAAGTGTGTCACCACGTTGGGGTAAAGAGGGAGGGAAGGGTCTGGGCTTGTGTGGTTCTTGCCATGTAGGAAGAGCAGCGAGAAGGCTCCTGCCTGGTTGTCCTGAGGGTGACAAGCTAAGAGGGGGCCCAGCCCAGGTGGACACCTCTCTGACCTCCGAGATCTGCAGGGCCCTTAGTCACGCATCCCTGTGGAAGGTGCCCTTGCCTCCTGCCCCGTCAGAGCCCCCGATCACCTCTCCTACCCATTAGATCACGCTAGTGGTTCAATGCAGGAGATCAATGACAGTTACGTTTCATGGAGTTGGGCCAAGTCTCCCTCCGTGTGGCCAGGCAGTGGTAAAGTGGGATTTTCACTTAAATGAACCAAGTGTGGCTTTGGTTCTGGGAGTGCTTCCTGGCACGGGCCTCCTGTCTGGGTGCTGTTTCTCCATATGGGGTTTTAAGAAATCCAGTTGGAAGGATATGGAATTAGGGCCTGGCCACTGCAGGGATAGAAAGTTAGGCACCCCGTGGTATCTTCCAAACCCCACACAGGTAGCTGTGGGGAGGCCTGAGACCAGTCAGGAGGGCATGGACAAGGGCACGCAGGCCAGGAGAGGACCACCCTCAGGAGGTTTAAAGGTAGGGTGGCGCCTAGTGTATTATCCTAATTGGGACACTTGTGAGAGTGAAAGGAGGATGCTGTTGATAGTTACATCAAGGCAGTGGGCACTGACCAGGGCTACCCCAGGCAAACTGACAGGTTTAAGGGAGAAAGAGCCACCAGGGACTGTGTCAGAAGCTGGCCTCTGCTCCCTGCCCTGGAAGAGTTAATCATCTGTTAACGGTCTTGAGATAAGTTAGGAATCAGATAAGGCATCTGGCCACTGCCAAGCAACTGTCACTCTCTTAGCCTCTCTCCCGTTCACAGAGGTCAGTCTCAATTCCAAAAGCTTGCTCAAATTCCCTGGGGAGCTTTCAAACCACACCGATGCCCAGCTCCACCCCTGACCAACTGACTCAGAATCTCTGAGTGGGGCCCAGGCCTGGGTAATTTTTAAAAAATTCTTTACCCAGCAATTGCACTCTGACACATATATCCAGGAGAAATGGATGCATAGAGCTGCCAAGACATATATGAGAGTGTTTATAGCTGCTTCATTCATAAGAGAGCCAAACTGGAAACAAGCCAAATGTCAATCAAAAATAGAATGGAGAACTAAATTGGGGGATATTCCTGCAATAGAATGTTATACGGTAACAGAATGAACTACTGCTATGCAGAGGCATGGGTGATTTTCAGACACGGCGAGTGGGAGAAGCCAGACCCTAAAGAGTACATACTTCATGATTCTATTTATATGAACTTCAAGGACAGGCAAAATGAATCTATGGCGTATAAGTCAGGATAGTGGTTATTTCTGGCAAAGAATTGCTGTTCACTGGGAGAGGCTAGACAGAGACTTCCAGGTGCTGGAAACATTCTGTTGTTTGATCTGGTGCTGGCTGGGAGGTTAACCCCTATATCCATATTCAATGAGCTGTACACACAAACTGCGTGTTCCTTACCATATGTGTGTTATACCTCAATAAAAAATAAAAGGTGAACGGAATAATGCATTTGCTAGTTAAACCTCCAAATCAATATATTATATTGAGTGGTGAAACTTTGGAACTGAACTGTTTGAATTAACTCTTTTGGAGGGAATCATTTTAGATTTACAGAAAAGTTGCAAAGATGGTATGGAGTGTTCCCACATAGCCCACACCCAGTTTCCCCTAGTGTTAACATCTTACATAACTGTGGTACGTTTGTCAGCACTGAGATTAGCATGGATACAGTACTATTAGCTCATCTCTAGGCTTTATCTGGATCTCAGCAGTTTTCCACTAGTGTCCTTTTTCTGTTCTAGGATCCAATCCAGGATACATTTAGTACATTTGGTGAAACTGAGTTTTTACTATAATTTGTGTCCATAGAGACACATACATACCCACAGATTGATGCACAGTCCCAGCAGGCCCCTCCCCAATACCTGCCCCTAAAACCCACTCTTCAAACAAACAGGCAAACCCAGGGATGTGTGCTTAGGCCCTGACTGTTGAGTGAAAAGGTCAGGAGCAGCATTTTAGCCTCTGAAGGCTCAGAAAGCTGGCTTTCAAGTCAGTCACACCAGAGCTCCAGGCTGTGCCACATGGGCGGCAGCCAGTTTGGAACCTGGTGCCACTGCCTGGGACATCTAGGGGGTGGTGTGGGGTGTGTGTGTGTGTGTGTGCATGCATGTGGGCACAGTCGTTGTACTTCCACTGCCAGGCCCAAGCTGGAGGGAGGCTGGGGAGCAGCCCTGCTCAGCACTCTGCCTGGTGATGCGGAGGCGGGGCGCAGACACAGCAGGGAGCAGGGAAGCCTGAGCTCACCAGCGCCACCTTAGCACAGAGCAGGGGGGCCTGGAGTCCCAAGTCTGGGAGGCCCCTTGGTCCTGGTCCTTACAGATGTTTGCCTCCAGGCTATGGCTGCCCTCCTCTCCTCTCAGCAGCTATCCTGTGCAGCCCCTCTGTTTGGATGCCACCTGTCATGGCACTTCCTGGCCATGGCAGTCACAGGTGCTTCTCTATGTTTATTTCTTGGCCTGCCAGGAACAGTGACCAATGACTTGGATCCTGGGGTCTGGGGCTGCAGTTCTGGGAACTCCCTGAAGAAGGGATGCCGAGGCTGGGGAGAGGGCACAGAGCCTAGACTAGGAAGAGAACCAAGGCCCTGACAAGGCCTGCACTGGAGGTGGAATAACGTCCCCCTCCCCCACCCAAAGATGTCCATGTCCTGATCCCTAGAGCCTGTGAATGTGGCCTTACATGGCAAAAGGGACTTTGCAGATGGGATTTGGTTGAGGATCTGCATTGGGGAGATCAAACTGGACAACCCAGATGGGACATTAATGTGATCACAAGTGTTTGTATCAGAGGAGGCAGGGGACAATGTGACACTGAGATAAATACTGCATAGCTGGTGTCCAAGGTGGAGGAGCCATGAGTCAAGGAGTGCAAGAAATGCAGCTCTAGAAGCTGACAAGCAAGGAAGGATTGTCCTGAGAGCCTCTGCAGGGAGCAAGGCCCTGCTGACACCTTGACTTTCCCCATGAAACTGACTTCTGCCCTTCAGAACTGAAATAGAATAAATGTGTACCGTTTTAGGCCACCACATGTGTGATAATTTGTTACAGCAGCCAAAGGAAACCAGTACAATCCTACTATTCTTGCCTTGCAACTGAGGAGGGGGTGCTTCTGTAGTCAGCTCAGGGCCTGGCTGCACCTCAAGGTCATAATGGCCGAAAACATAAAGGGGAAGATAGAAAATGGATCATTTCCGTCATGTCATTTAATTAATCTCTTTGGTCAATCATGATGTCTGATGGCTCAAGGAAAGTGATTGAGGAATATTGTCTGTAGGCTGGGCCACGCTGTTGTCATGGACTTTCCTGAGATGGCAGAATCCCCCATCCCTCCCAGGGAATCCAGACCTTCCATGATCTGAGAGGACTCCATGCCTCTAAAGCCCCAGGAGAGGGTAGAAAGACTATCTCAACAGAGACATGTGCCCATACCTGTGGACAGGAAAGTAGGGCCCAGGCCTCTGGCCTATTGAATGTAAGGCTGAGCTCACTTGTCCTAAGAATCCTCAGCCCCTCTCAGGCCCTTCTGTTCATGGTCAAATAGTGGCCAACCCTCTATACCCAGGGATGTGTGCTTAGGCCCTGACTGTTGAGTGAAAAGGTCAGGAGCAGCATTTTAGCCTCTGAAGGCTCAGAAAGCTGGCTTTCAAGTCAGTCACACCAGAGCTCCAGGCTGTGCCACATGGGCGGCAGCCAGTTTGGAACCTGGTGCCACTGCCTGGGACATCTAGGGGGTGGTGTGGGGGGGGTGTGTGTGTGTGTGCATGCATGTGGGCACAGTCGTTGTACTTCCACTGCCAGGCCCAAGCTGGAGGGAGGCTGGGGAGCAGCCCTGCTCAGCACTCTGCCTGGTGATGCGGAGGCGG